ATAAAATGTAAAATACTGCATGTATATTGCAGAAAACTAGAATAAAAAACAATAAAGTAGAAAAACTGTTATCTATCTATCTATCTATCTATCTATCTATCTATCTATAATGGATGGGGCATATTCATATTCTTAAGTTATTGTGAAAATGTTATACTATATAAAACAAGGTGTATCCAATTTATAAACTATACACACCCTCACAGGATCAGAGCTATGGTATAATCTTTCCACAAAACAAAGTTTAGGGCCGGCCAGATAGCTTAGCGGATTAAAGTGCTGCAAGCGGGCGCAGGGGCCAGGGGTTTAATTCCTGGGCCTGCTTTGCCCACCCTGGCCCTGGGGAACGCTGAAACATCAATTGAGACTGCACATGGTGGCACATGCCTGTAATCTCAGCTCTTGGGAGGCTGTAAACAGGTAGATCATTATGAGTCCAATCTAGTAGTAAGACCCGGAACACCCTGTAGATGCTTCCCTAAAAATACAGAAAAAGACTGTTTAAATACATGCTGATCATGTGCACATCAGTACACTGCCTTAGACTAAAAGATATGCTGCAAAAAGAAGGGTTTTTTTCCAAATTGTAGGATAAATGTAAATTATATTTCTCTTTATATATTCCCATATTTTCAAAATTTTTTGCTTAATTTATGCATTTGGTACAAAGTCTCACTACGCAGCTCAGACTTGTAGTGATCCTCCCGTCTCAGCCTCCCTAGTGCTGGGATTACAGGTGTGTGCCACTACACCAGGTTTTGGTGACTGGCTCAGTTCTACAGGGCTGCCCAGCATGCAGTGCAGGGGATTCCTCCTCCCCCCCGTCTCGGGACATTTGTCAACATCTAAGGACAATTTCAGTTTCCAAAACTGCAAGTGATGCTACAGGCATGAGGGTGTAGAGTCCAGAGACAGCGCTAAGTGCTCCACAGTGCACACAACTCTCTCCTACAGGAAAGTAAAAACAAAAACAAAACAAGGCAAGCCAACGAATAGACCGGAAACAGGTTAATGTATCAGCAGTCATGCTGCAGGAAAACGCTGAAGTTGAATTACACTAAGCTTTGTCAGACTGGATAATTTAAACATATATTTACAAGCCTCTTAAGAACACGCCAACAGTTTGAAAATGTGCATCAACTGTTAAAATGCCTTAGACACATTAGAATGAGTAAGTGAAACTGTAAGCAACAGCTGGACTTAGTAACTATAAATGCTTAGAAAGATTTCTGTTTTTGCCAGGATAACTATTTTTCCTTTTACACAGGCTTAACAACAGTCCTTTGTTTCATCATGAGAAGACAATGCAGGAGTTTATATGTAGCGTTCCTGGGTAAATACAAAAATTTCTGAATTATTTTCCTTGCACAGCTTATAATCTGGAGACAAGGTTTATATTTTTTGAAGGTATATTTACAAAATTTATGTAAAGTTAAGGCATGTAACGTATATATTATTCTGATATTTATTTTTAGGAAAGTTTCTCTGATATTTTAATGATCAAATGAGCACCAGTTTATACGTGCAAATTAAATGCATTTTAGCCAAAAGTCAAGAGCTTTGGTGAGGAATATTTAGGGATTTATTGATATTTTTGCTAATGGTAGGCTAAGATCAAAGTAAGAAATGTCACTAGAACTAAAGTAAAAGA